ATATATATATATATATATATATCAAGATTAATCTAGGCCTACTTTTCATTGTTTTTGGAAGAAGACTTGAGGAATAAGCCGGAATTTACCTCAGATGAACAGCGCGATCTGACGCGGCTTTATTCAGGAGATCATTTCTGTAGTAATGTTTTCTTCTGGCACATTTATAAAAGTTACTTAAAACTTTACTTTTCTTAAAATAATTTGTTATTCAGATATTGTGCAGAGTAATTCTATTTGTTAACCAAAGAAGTTTACAATTTTATTAAAATGCTAAGTATTACAGTTGTTTTAAAGCTAAAAGGCTAAACTATTCCATGTTTAACTCAAACTGAAAGAATTAAGAGTTTCATTTCGATGCATAAAGGTTTATAGGGATTTTATGAAGTGATTAACAATTTGAATAATTAAGTTACTTATTGAGTAATTAAGTTACTTTTCAGACAGAGTAATTAGAAAAGTAATTTAAATACAATATTGATGATGTAATTAGTAATTAGTAATAAGCCTAATTACTTTTTTAAAGTAACTTACCCAACACTGGAAGAAACCGAAAATGTAATCAATTTAGAAATAAGATGTATGGTCACGCTTGTTAATTGAATTTGTGTTGGCTTGCTATTTTTCTGCAGTTCCATTAATTCTACACACTCAAAATAAATAAATAAATAAATACAAATACATAAAAAATAATACAAAACTGTCACTGTGGCAGTATCCTACAAAAGCTAAAAGGTACATATTCGTACCTTATTACCCCTAAATGGTAGCTACATATTAATAGCTTGAAGTATGTTATTACTTTAAAATGCATATTAGCACCTTTTGAAAGTGACAGTTTTTCTGAGAGTGTATTAATACTGAATTAATTAATACACTGAATTGTGCCATTTAATTATTAAATTCCTCATACACACAACGTGCCAAATAGATGGCATATATTAAGTTAAATATATTTTAACAATTTAAATGGCTTTGTGATTTCTCTGTACTCAGAAATCTGCAGAATTTGATGTGGTCATAGACAAAATTTGCACATCTCCTCCCACTTCCTCCCTGTCTTCCCTTGTTGCCAAAGATGCTGGTGTTGTTGCACACTTTAGAATGACTGGGTAAAAAATGCAGTGAGAAAAACCTGTTTAGCATGAAATAAAAGCAGCTGCAAGTGATGTCAATGAAGTCTCTTGTATATCAATTTGCGCACTGATGATACAGTGACTATTTAACACTCAAACATAGTCTATGCTGAACATATTAACAAAGGATTTTGTAATGCTGTTTATCCTGAGATCGATAGTTTGGGATAATTATTGCAAAAACGCTTTCTGACACTGTGTGCAGGTAAGAACATAACAATTCATCACCAGATTTAGTTCACCATTTTGAAGGACATTTTACAATATAGGATTAAGGATTAAATCTGTTTTGTTGCATGAATTAATGTATTAAATATAAATAAAATACTAATGTTTAAATGAAAAAAATGTTAAATAAATACTTTTTTATAATACATGTAATTTTAAATAAAATATAATAAAATACATTGATTAAAGTGTGAATAAAATGTGAATGAAATCCTAAATGTAATGAGAGCAGAAAAGTCAAAAAAGATTACCCATGATTTAGCAGGGAAATTCAAAATCTATAGCTGAAATCAATGTTCCTATTATGACTTCAAGTAAACCCTATCAGTTTAATAACCTGTACCGTCTTGGTTGCCAGACAACACTCAACATGTTTATCTAACTGTGAGGTGAAGCTTGTGAGACTTGCATGGTTACCAAACGCTTACAGATTGTGTAGACAGATCAAAGTTGAGTGCATAAGCACATAAAAGTTGCTGTAGTCCTACAGAAGAAAAACTGAAAAAGCATCTTTTAAGAATTTATCTGTTTTGCTTGTAGAATGATCTCCAATACAACTCTTTCCCTTCACTCCAACTCCAAAATCTCAATGTTCTATGAGAAAACGACAGCAGACATTGTCTTCTACTCAATCATAGTTCTCATTGGCACCACTGGGAACTCTGTGGTCATCTGGGTGGCTGGCTTCCGCATGAAACCCACTGTCACAAACGTTTGGCTGGTCAATCTCGCTGTAGCAGACCTGATCTTCTGCTTGACACGAGTCACTTCTCTCATCAAAAGCATTTTCTATGACCACTGGCCTTTTGGAGTTTTTCTCTGCAAGTTCAATGGTTTCTTCAAGTACGCCAACATGTTCTGCAGTGTTTTCCTTCTGGCTGTCATCAGTGTGGATCGAGCGCTTTGCATTTGCCGCCCAGTGTTCACCAGAAAACGACGGACGTTATGTGCTGCTCGTGTGGTCAGTGTGGGAGTTTGGATTGCGGCGGTGGTGTTCAGCTCACCGTACTTTGTGTACCGACAGGTCTTCCTTGGCTTCCTTGGCTTGAGCCACTGCTCATTCAAGGTCAGAATGGCTTTACAAATTACTGCATGTGCCACCCTTGCCACCCTTC